TTTTAATATGTGAATAATCAATTGTAGAACGAGTGGTTCTTCCTTTCATTAATAAATGTTGCTCAGCTTGCCACGCGGGTAATTTTTAATTAATAAATTCTTTTTGGACTTGATTTTTTTTCCAAATAATAACAACAATGATAATAAATAAAAATTATATTTAAAAGAAAACCGGCCAGTGCACCATTGTTAGGATCCGTTACAATCAAGACGATGAAAAGAAGGAAGTCGGGTTAGGCTCTCTTCGAGCTACGGTCGTTCGACCACCTTTTATTGAGGATAAACAACAACTCGAAGAAAAAGAAAAAAAACAAACAAAAACATATATGTACATAAAAGACCAATAGAAGAAAAACCAGAGAGACGAAGGATCGTCCAACTATTATAATAGATGGCGATCCTGACAGAAACCCTAAAAGAGTTTCCGATAGTAACAAATACCCATATTTTTAGAATGCAGAAAGACATTGGCATCGTGGTGGCTGTCCATTGTGAGGTTCTCTTTTGAGGATGTCGGTAATTAATCTTTATTTTATTTTTATGCTCAGTCAGTGATGCGTCTTCTTTAGATTAACCGATCTTATGTCGAGAACTCACGTAAATATTTAGTTTACCTTGTATAAGTCTATGTATAATCAATGATTTTTAATGAGATAACTTGATGAAATCAGTTGATTGAAGAGAAAAGTAGATTTATGTAAATAACGATAACAGTGATGAAAAAATAATAAACCTCTCCCAATAAATACAAGGATAGTCCTTGATATATTCAAACGAAAAAACATTACTAAGCCAAAAAGATCACATGGTCTCATCATGAGAAGGATTATCCATATCAAATAGAAAAGAAGGAAAGAAAAACGTATTTCAATGATATGGACAAGTTAGTGTCATGAAGTGACATCTAGTGACGCTAACACCCATATGTAGTTCCCAGCGTTAAAAATAATGATAAAATAGCATTCACTTTCAAATTAACCATAGCCTGTTGTTTGTGATAAGTTTAGCTTCGAAAACCAAGATTCATGTGCAGCATGCAAATGCATTACACATAAGTGTCTAACTCTGATAAATACAGGAAAGATAAGGAGGAAAAGAGACACTCGTTCTCTCATTCGTAACTTTATCTCCACTATCAGATATTAACATTTTCCGATGTGTCACATACCTATTATTTGTATACTTCGTTGAATACGAAGGAGGAGGGCGGATAAAGCCGTTTTGCGGCCCCTCAGATTTGAATTATTTCTATCAGGTATTAATCAGGGATCGTTCTCGATCACTTTTTTCTACTTTGTTTCCCGAAATACGACACTGACGATTTTTCTGCCTGGGGTACCCCACAGGTATCATCGAAAACAAAATTTGTTTTTTCACGAGCAAAAGTCAGATGTAATTGTAGATTTGAGGGTACTGATTACGAATATCGTAATTAGAAGTCTCAAAACTACATTGCTTCCGAAGTAGCCGAGACCACTCGATAGATACTATTTTTCATTATTGAGACTGTTATGCATTATCATTTGTTTTTAAATTAAGTAGAAAATATCCTTGCTAACCAAAAATGTTGAGTTCTTCACGAATCTGAACCTTTGAGACGGAAAAAAAACCTTCAGGAAAATAGATAACGACTCGGTAGTAAAAATTGACCTTTTTTTTAACGTATCGTTTTTCTCCTTAATAGTTTGTTATGAAGAGAGCCTTGCCGCAACGTCAAATTTTGATCATTAGCGTAGTCTTTCAAGCTCTATCGACTGAAGATCTTAAAAATATTAAAAAGTTGTGCAACAGGGCGAAAAGTTAAGAATATTAATAATTTTAATAAAATTTGTGTAGGGCACCACAGCCACGATTATATATGATATCTTGAAATCAACTGATATTTAGCCCATCTTGCAGAGCATAATTAGCTGTGCATACAATAAAAAAATTATTGATGTCCGCTCTTTTTACGGCTCAAAAATTTATGTGAAATTTTACTTCCTTGCAACGATTCATACATTTTGTGAAGCGAATTTGTGAGTCGAAGTAAAGAGTGGAGAGCCATATTTTTTTACTGTGTGCACAGTTCATTAAGCTGTACCAGATGGACTATATATTTGTTGATTTCCCGATCTTATATTGTTTAGTGACAGTGGTTACCTACAGCAATTTGGTAGAAATTAATCGTGTCCTTAACTTTTCACCCTGTTGCACAACTTTTCTAATATTTTTGAGATGATCAGTGGATAGAGCTTGGAAAACTGCACTTACGATCGAAATTTGACGTTGCGGCAGACTTTCTCCATTCTCATGGCAGTCAAATATGGCGAGAAGGGGTCAAATTTTCTCCCAGACTCTCTACTTTTTTCCATGAGTTACATTTTTTCGATGTAAAAGTTCAGATTCGAAAAGAACTCAAAATGATGAGTTAGAGGAAATCATTTTGCACCTAATTTCTTCGTGTGGTTATTCGATGAGGGCCCAAATAACAAAAAATAGTATCCATCGAGTGGTCTCGGCTACTTCGAATGCAAAGTAGTCTTGAGACTTCTAATTACGATATTCGTAATCAGTACTCGTAAATCTACAATTGCATCTGGCTTTGGCTCGTGAAAAACAAATTTTGTTTCCGATGTTACCTGCGGAGTACCCCAAGTAAAAAAGTCGTCAATATCCATTTTCGGGAAACAAAGTTGAAAAAAAATGATTGAGAACGATTCCTGACTAATAGCTGATAGAAATAATTTAAATCTGAGGGGGAGGGCTGCAAAATGGTCTTATCCATCCTCCTCCTTTTGTTAATACATAGGCCTACTGAAAGGACTGCGCAAATAGGGATACAATTTGTGTCGCGATTTTAGATACAAATGAGCATCTAACCTCTTTAACGGTTACCTATTCACTCTGAATAGCTTGTATCGGCATGTAACCACTTGTATCGACTTGTATCGACTTGTATCGACTTGTATCGACTTGTATCGGCTTGTATCGGGTTTGTATATCACTGTAACGACCCATATACCGGAAAAAAGCCTAGAATTCTAGAATTCATGTAACGGTTTGTATCAGATTTGTATATGGATCGTTACGCTGATATACAAACCCGATGCATGCCGTAACAAACCGATATATTCCGATACAAGTTGTATTCGTACTTGCGCATTTCTGCCGACTGAACACTAAGACATCATGGAAATTTTAGCAATAACAAATGTGTTCTTCGAAATATACTCACTTTTTGAAGAATAGGCCCTTTTTTCAAAAACATTAGATAATCGAGCGTTTTTTAAATAATATATTTAAAAGAACATATTTATTATTGCTAAAATTTCCATAGTGTTTAGTGTTTAGTCTGTCTATTTATTAACAAATTTTCGAATCAAAATTTGTTTATTTCACTTTCTGATAACTGAAAGAAAAGGAAAAAATCTGAAAAATGCGTATACCTTTTGAAGAAAGTACTACGCACTGAAAACAGTGCAATATTTTCACTAGAAAACATCGTGCAGTATCCATGAACAAAATTCATTGGAATCTATGGGGATCAGCTTGGGAGGCTCAATCGTGAATTGATTCTATTAAAATATTATTTTATCAACATAATGAGAGGGGTGGCAAAGATCCAGAAAATGTCCACTTTACGAAAAGTCCTTTGAAATTTTAAAGGATCCTACTAACCGAGCAAAAGGATATTGCATTTATCAAATGTCAGTTATAAGAAATTCTTCTTAATGCTACCGGACCTTTCATGGGACCTTTCTATATCCAGAAGGACCTTACTCTATTCGATTCGATATATTCCTAGTATTTGTAGCGAACCTTTGTATTTTAAAGCGGATTTTTCTTTTTCTTCAGCGAACCTTTCATGGGACTTTTCATATTCTTCAACAGACTTTGATAAATCATAAGGACCTTTCTATTAGTGTTGTGTTAACGAATGAATATTGTGAAATTTTGTGCGGATGGAACGTATTTTAAAACGTTTTTTTGTATCATGAAATGCTTCAGTAGATAGAAAATTGAAATCATTCGTTGATGTTTTTCGTAATAGATGCAAGATATGGTGCTCATTCATGAATTTATATGGAAAAGAATAAGAATAGAGTTGACACTGATATGGAATTTGTTTATATGGAAAAGAGATTCTCGTTTGAATTTTTATGTAATGTTGTGTTACATAGTTACTGGATTTCATCGATGAAGAATTGGAGAGTATGAATATATCTCGAAGCACAGGAGAAAAGATAACAGAAAGCACGTGGCGCAGAAATAAAAGAATACGAAAATCATTTGTTGAAGAAGGAAAAGACAAATGTTTTATGCATTGAATGAAAATATTGGTTAACATAAAATTTGATAGTCGTTCGCACAGAGGACACTCTGGAATTTTGGTGTTACTTTATCTTTATATATGCCTACCATAAGGAATAAATAGAAAATAAAATATCGAGAGTTCAGAATACGAAGATAAATGAATCGAATATAAATACAGGCGTTATTTTTATGAGATAAAGATTAATAACATCTTTGTACTAAAAAAAATGTGGAGAATGATTTTCTCTAATTTATCTCTACATTATAACGATAGTTACATTTTCTACATTTTAAAAAATGAAGATAAATATTTTCTCTAGTTTATTCTCATAAAATATGGAGAATCAATTTCTGTAATTTATCTCTATATGATAACGATCATTAAATTTTAATCAGTTGAAGTGAAAGAAAAAGTCCTTTAGAAAACAGAAAAGTTCGCTGGAGAAAGGAAAAATCCGCTTGTAGCTTATCCATGTTTTGCCTTTCCTTCAGCTACTTATATATATATAAGTATGTGATATTTCATAAGGTACGTAAGATCCCACATTTAGTCATGGGACTGTTCGTAAAGTGGATATTTTTTCGATCTTTGACATTGCTGCATAATGATAGATCTCGTTGTTAGTAATTACTTGTAATTATGAATATGACAAATCTTCTTATGTGTCAGTAACAACATAATGTGATGAAGATGAATAAAGTCTGATACATATTGGAAAACGATTATAATATTTTCAACAGGCTTCCTTTAGTCAGAGCACTTCGACAATAGTGATAATCATGTTTCTAATGAATTTTTAAGTTTTTGCATAGTTTGAACTACGTCAAGACACTGATTCATAGCGATTGATTGAAAGCCATTTCAATCCATTCCTATCCATTCCTATCGATTTCTAGCCATTCGAATCGCTCGAAATGAGCTTTTTCCTTCTTGCAGTTTATGCTTCATGAATATTTTGTATGAGAAAATAGCAGTAGCTAATCATCCTGAAAAAATTGCATGCTGCTAGAACTCTGAAACAAAACAACACTTGTCTATTGAAAGCAGCACTTAAAAAGTGTTTTCATAAAAAAATTAATTGTATTTATTTTTTCTGCTTAGCGTCCTGTTGCTAATAAAAATTTTCCAGATAATTTCTGTAAAGAAAATCATTCTTAGACAGCCTGCCATTAAGCGATTCTCTGCATTTCGGAAAGCAATCAGATCGTCCGCATACTCACACACGTAAAAAGTTATATTAACGAGCCGAAATGATATTACGCAGAGCTAATGAAAAAATGATGTCTAAAACTAGAATTTTTGATGAAAAGATTTTGAAAAAGAGAAAAATGCTCGTAGTAGTTGATATATTTAAACAGCAAATTTCTGAATATTTTTTTTTTACATCAATTCACATATGCCTTTGATTGAAAGAAGCATATACTGAAGAACCAAATCATCAAAAGAAATTGAGCGTGAGTGAAAAAAAAATGCACTAGATATATGAATAATATGTGCCATTTCCTTCTTGCTCTCTCTTTGCTTCCTTACCGTATGATCATCTTACGGCGTGAAGATTGAGCTGGACAAAATGACCACCAACCCCTCCAATGGTCATCCTAATTCTATTTTAAAACATTCATCTATGGTTCAAGAGTCTGCACTACCTGTCCTGATATCTAACCAAAGCCCACCTCTCCAAGTGCAAAGCCAACTGTTCTATCAAGGAAAATATATTCCTCACCTCACTATTTACATGATCCACAACAAATGCCGATGGTTATTATGCAAAATGGTCAATTATCCCCATTAAATCAAATCTTTCCTCCTTCGTTATATGGTTTTCCACCCACTCAATTATCAAGATCAATAAACACATATAATATGACTCATAGCAGCGAACAAATCGAAGTTCCTGAAAATACCCACTCCAGTCCATGTGATGCCAATGTTCACTCAACTCCAACTATCAATAAACGAACTCGTGACGATGTTGGATATTCGTTTGAGAATGAAAACGAAAATGAAGCGAATACAACTACATTTTCCCCCGAGAGAAAATGATGGCTGGCAATCATCACGACGTAATAATAAGAAATTTATTGCAAGTCGTAATCGCACATTTCACAACTTCAATCATTCGCAGAATAATGTTCAAACTTCATCACTAAACTAGCAACGAACATCTGACCAAATTTCGAATCAGCAACAACCCGTAAATAATCTTCCTACACGTCAAACAGGTCAACTTTTTTCAACTGGATATGCGACATTTCGCCAGGTGATTGAAAACGAACACGTGGTTACTAATCAAGTAGGACGTTTTGCTACAACTCGCTATTCTTTCTCTCCTTTCATCGTCCATTTCAAAGAAGATCTTCGTGATAAACTAGTGGTTGAACATTTAGTCAAAAATGCAAAAGAACAGTGTAATAATTTTGATTTACATGTGTTAGGTTATTGTAGAATTCAAAGAAATTGTGTTGTTGCTGAATATGATATTTTAGTATTTGTAGAAAATACACAATCATTTGCTTTTTTACGTGACGTTGGAAATTGGCCTGCACAACTTGTTGGAAAAGAATATACTCGAAAGATGCCTTCTATTTCTCCTCAATTATCAGGTGTCATTCAAAATGTTGCTTTTAACGTCGACTGGGATGAATTTGTTCAGGATCTTAAACGTCAGTATCCTCAAGTAGCCAATGTTATTCGATTGAAAAATCGTAATCTCAAAGATCTTAAATTAGTCAAAGTGAAATTCAACTCTGCTACTATTCGTAATAAATTTTTGGAAGGAAAATACGTATACGTGCACTTTATGCGGTATCCAGTAGTGGAATATATGGCTTTAGCTCAAGTATTAATATGTTCTCGATGTATGCATATTGGTCATTTTCAGAAAAATTGTCCACAGAAAGATGAAGTAACTTGTAAGATATGTGGTGCAATATGTGCTGATTTAAAAAAAACACGAATGCCACGGTATTGCTAAATGTACTTGTTGTGGTGGAGATCACAAGTCTAGTGACACTAAATGCCCAAAAGTCAGAGATTATCGAGCTGCTTTAACTCGTACTCTTCTATCAACTAGGGATGTTACTTAATATTTACTTTACTTTTTAAAGATAAATAAAATCTTTATATTTGAAAAATAAAGATAAATGAAATCTTTATATTTATAAAATAAAGAATGAAGAATTTATGAAATCTTTATGCTTTAAAAAATAAAGATAAATAAAATATTAATATTTATAAAGTAAAGATAACGAATCTTTATCTTTATAAAATAAAGAAAAAGAAAAAGAAAAAGTAGTTTTATCTTTATTTAATAACGATAAAATAAAGAATAAAGAAAAAAAAATTTCCTTACAAACCCAAAATTTGGTCTTGTCCGGGTAGCTCGAAGAAAATTAAGAAGTTTAAGGCTAAAAAAATTTTGAACACTAGATTCGTTCCCATAAATGATTTATGCCTCATTATCATTTGCTGGTATTATTTCATGCTGCAATGTCAGTGACGACAAGCAAGAACTGCAATCAATGTTTTCTGTTGTTATACAAATTATTTATCTATTTACCAGTGACTGCAGAAAATCGTTCTTTTTTCTTTCTTTTAACTTTATTTTTACAAATAAAGATTATCTTTATCTTTATTTTATAAATATAAAGATTTCATTTATCTTTATTCTTTAATATGAAGATCAATAAAGATAAAGTAACACCCCTACTATCAACAAGAAATAAAGTTCAAGCTAATCAACTTGTAAAAAATAATCCTGCTTTTACTACATCGAATTTTCCTTGGTTAAATCATTTGTCTCCAGCTAATACATTCACTGCTAATGACAATCACGTTGATACATTTGGAATGTTCTAAAACTTACGATAAACTATGATAGAAGAAGAAAAAAAGACTCGTGAGAGTTTTGATCAATTTAAAGAAGAAATGTTCCAGAGAAATAAAGCATATGAACAATAACTATCTAATTTGAAATCTAAAGTTGCAATGCTGGATAATCAACTAGCTCAACATGATTGAGTACAACAAGAAACCCTGATTCTTATTACAAGCATTATACAAGTAATTAAATCGGGAATGAAAAAAAAGGTGAAGATATAGGAGCATAAAGCTGTATGATGGATGAACTTATGCCTAAATATCATATTAATTCTCGAGATCTCAAGTTCTGCACTACAAAAACGTAATGCCTTGGAATCCAAATGCAATTTTATTTATTCCAAGCAGTATGGAGACATGTGAAATAAATATTAGAAATTCAATAATTAAAACTGGTCAACATGTATTGTCAAGCACTGGTTCTCTTCTATTCCATACAAATATTGGCGAATGACATTCTTCTCTCTTACTATCATCTTGCTTAGACAATTGGAAATTAATCTCAAAACCCAAAATGCAATTAACATATACTTTTCTATATACTGTATGTTTTAATGTTCGCAGTTTAGATTTAAGATGGGGTGAAGTTTATTTACTGTTTTCATCATACAATGTTGATATTATGGTGCTATTGGAAGTAAGCAAATTCGATCAAGTTACCATAGTCACTGCCTTTCCGAACCACCTCTTATTCTACCAAGAAGGTGAAAATGCCCATAGGGGCGTGCTTAATTTAGTTCAACAAACTGTTCCTGTTACTCGTGTTCCTTGTCATCTTGCCAGTGTATGTGTGGTTGATTTACACCTCGATGAAACTTTACGTTTGATCGGAATGCATGCCCCGGATAGAAAATCGTGGTCATGCAATGATTTATCATCTTTCTTCTTAACCAACTCAATCATTTGTGGCGATTTTAATGTCGATCTTACAGAAGATGGTGATAAAGCAGATAGACTTATGAAATAGGCTTATGTCTTAGATTTATCTACTGTTGTTTCAGATACAAGAACATCACTTAGATCAGATAGGACTATTGATTATGCTTTTGCAAAAGGTACACAAGTTACTGTACAAGTTCATGAAGGTGCTACCACTAGTGATCATAAACGTATCATTCTTGTTTCTGCTGTTGAAGACAACCGAAAAAATATGGCTAGTCAAACATCATGGCCTGTTTTCTCTTCATTTTTATCATACGTATTTCCATTCTGGGAAAAACAATGGTCTGCATTCAAGATGAATGAAATCTACAATAATTTCACACGATTTCTTTCTTTACTTGCTGCTCGATGTACAAGAACATTTCCTTTAAAATTAGCAAGACCAGCAATTCCACCCGAATTAAGAAGCAAACTATCATATAGTCGTGCATTATCTTTTAAAGCTAAACAAACAGGTGACATGAAATTGAAAATTGAGTCAGCCAAAGCTCGAAATGTTGTTCGTCGTGAATTAAGGTTATTTCAGCAGAATCAACTTGCAAAACAACTCTCTGATTGAAACAAATCAGTTGACTCAGCACGGATGTTTTGGAGTAAAACAAAAAAACATTTCCGCAAATAAACAGCAGTGCTGAGAGGTTTTAATCTATCATCTGGTCAAATAGAAAGTGATGCTACAGCAGTGGTACAGTTGGCTGCTGATTATTTTGAAAAATTATTTGAAGAACCAAGTGACACACGACCTCACCCATATACTGATTCTCCTCTAGTTTTAAGTCTTCAAAATAATTCACCAATTCCAGATGTAACCTATACAGATGTACTGAAAGTTGTTAAAACACGCAAGTAAAAACGTTCGTGTGACATACATGGAATATCTTCCTATCTTCTTAATCAACGTCCTGATAATTATTGTCATTTTATGGTAAAACTATATAATCATTCATTTAGTACTTATCAAATGCCGGATAAATTCAAAAATGTTAGAATTATTCTTCTTCCTAAAAAAGATGCGATTTGTCCTCCTGATCAAAAAAGACCAATTTCATTGATTGATTCTTTTCTTAAAATCCAGGAAAGATTATATCTCAATCGTTTTATGGAGATAAAGACATTTCGTACTAGTGTTCGGGACACTCGGTAATCCGTCGGAGTGTTCGGAATTGATTTTGCCTTTAAAACCGTTTACCCGGAGTACGTAACACATGTTGGTCAGGATATCGTAATTAAAAAATATAGGGAAATCGGAATGAAATGGTCGACAATATGTAAAATACTGTCAGGAAATCAGGACGAAAATGGCCGGACGTCCGTTAACTCATTTTACTTGGAGATCGTAAGTATATCATAATACTTATAGACTGCGCTATCTTAAGGAGAATAGAAACACTATATAATTAAAAATATCCGCTTGCAAATGTTATTGGTTAGACGATTAATACAAGCTACTGAATCATTTAAAATCTCTCAAAAAAGTGTACACATGAACATAGCTACGAACAGCCTGCCTCTTTTCATTACGATCTGCATTTTTTCATTGTTAAGATCTTTCGGTTATTTTCATCCCGAACGTCACGCAAATTTCAGTTCTTTCTTTTTCACAAATACTGCTGTCCGTTACGGCCTATTGGACAACTTTCATTCAGAACACCCTGGCTGTTTTAAATTTTTGTCATTCCGAAGAGTAGGGGTGGACCATTTTTTTTAACGGAACTTAATTAATGACATTAATTAATGACTTCCATTAGCCATGAATCTTAATGGTTAATGTTTTCTAAGAAAAACTTCATTCATTAATATTAATGTCAATGTTCTTGAATGATATTAACGGTTAAAGGAAACATTCACCATTAGTATGAATAGTAATGTTTTCGCTAATATTCGGGATTATATTTTCATTAATCATTAATATTAATGTTAATGTTTTCATGAAAACATTAATTTTTCCATATTACTGAATTAGGCTTTTCTAAGGAAACATTATCTACAATTATTAATCAATTAACTGATCTTAATAGCTAATGTTTTCTCCGAAAGTGTTAATTACTTAATATGGAAAGTTATAATGCTTTCATGAAAACATTAACCATTAATTTTAAGTCATTGATTTTAATGAAAACATTAACATTAATATTAATGATTAATGAAAATATAATCCCTAATATTAACGAAAACATCACTATTCATACTAATGGTGAATGTTTCCTTTAACCGTTAATATCATTCAAGAACATTGACATTAATATTAATGATTAATGAAAAAATTAATTTTAAGATTAATGTTAATGTTTTTCATTAATCATTAATATTAATGAATTACGTTTTTCTTAGAAAACATTAACCATTAAGATTAATGGTTAATGAGAAACATTAACATTAATTTTATATTAATGTTAATGGCCCACCCCTACCAAAAAGCATGTATGTTTTTATATGCCGGGGAAATCGTAACGAACATCCCCTCAGCCAAATCGTAATACAAACTTAGTGCGAAATGTCTCTTTCCCATAAAATCCACTAGCAATCAGAAAAAGCTAAACTTATTAAGATAATCACGACAAATATAAATTTCAAATATTTCACACGAGTTGGCTAATTATTTCACGACTTTCCTTCGGAAGAGCTTGAAGGTTTTTACAACTTTCGAAAATTGTTTCAACTTTTCTGATCGAAACAACGTGTAACTATTCTATGCGACTGCAAGATCTATAGTCTCAATCAAAACCAATTTTTAACTGAGCGGTTAGTCGTTCGTCGGCGCCCCTCTGGGTGCCACCCACACCCACACCCTCACTACTCTTGTTTCATATATACGATGAACGTAGTCCTTTTGAACACTGTACGGTTGATTGAAAGCGTCGCTTCATTATATAATTATTAGATGAAAACAAAGAGAATTTTCAAGAAGCCCGAATACAACAGCTATGGGACTAATTTAATTCAGTTGCATCTACATATGCGATAAGTTCCTCCCAATTTTGAGAAGAATAAGACAAGATTCCCGAGTACTTACACAGTTTGTGAACGTTCGTAGATGCTCTAATCTAGAATTCTACGAGTTTAGTTTGAATAAATTTCGTGCTACAATAAAAGTTGGCATTTCAAGTATAAACTGAAGACTTCGACAAAAAGCCTTCATCGTCTTAGTGTTTATACACAAAATACAGACATGCAGTTATGTTCTTGAGGGTTTGATGAAAATGACTTAAGCGCAGCATTCTCCAAAGCCATGTTTACTTATATAATAATTTTTTCTGCAGCAATGAAACACCGACATATGCCGGTGAGCGGCTAGTCCTTCGTCGGCGCCCCTCCGGAGCGCCACTCACGGCTAGCCATTTCCAAATTTAGAAGCAATTCCACAGCAACATGCCTATAGCCTATTCCGGATAAGATCTCATATAAACATACGATATGTCTACCACTATAAACATTATCGAATGGTACCCTTAAAAAATTTCCCTACAAAGAATTCCTATTACGAAAATGGAACGATCTAAACAGCTCCTACTGCATTATGAACTCGCTTGAACTATGAAAGATTATTAACCATTTAATATTCAATCCAACGACAGCCGTTATCTTATTTGAATTAACTTTATTTATTTAGGATCATAACCATTAAAAATGTTGTTGTGCTACTCCTAAATGCTTTCGAAATACTAGTCACTGGCCAGTTGCTACTCACTTAGTTTTACTTTTTCAAAAGCTCATCTGTTCGTTCTATGCAATAGGCCTCTGTGCAACCCTCTTTGTTTAATAAAATGATGACAAAATGTTTTTGAAAAACTACAGTTGAAATCGAATAACTTCGCCTCAAAAGCTTTCGATCAAACCTTATAGAAAACCATTTTTTCCTAAAAAAATGGAAAAAGCGAAACTTCAAAAACCTGATCTCAAATTCGACTTTCTCGAGCCCGAAAACCTTCGGTCAAAGCTATCTCTGCAGATATTGTTTGAGTTTAGCTAAGTTTATGCATCTGCTTTCCTATTGGACGAACGAACGCATTTAACTCGTTTTTCTTAATGCCCTCCTTTCAGTAGAGGGGATATTTTTAATAATCTTGATATGTCTTGAAAAAAATTTACATCGTTTTAAAAACGTACTTTAAAACTCTAATAATACATTTTAATAGTTTATAAGAAAACATTATGTATAACTAGACTAGACAAATCACTTTTTCAATGCTTATTTCTTTTTCATGCAAATTGAAAAGTTAATAACAATTTTTCTCTTAATTCGTACCATCCGATTTCCTATAAAATTTCATTCAATTGATGTTGTATTTTTCACTCAAACGTGCGAGCGCATGATTGTTAGAATGGATAACATATTTGACTTACAACTACCGCGCCACATGATCGCATCTAGGATAATGCAGTAGATTCTAAATGATTTATTTATATCGTAGCAGACAAACTTTACAAAAGGGCGGTCTGGAACACATTGTAACCTGGAACGGAAACAACTGGGAGAATGTTAATATATTTTCGATTCGTTTTTGTGAAATCGGATTAATGCGTTTCAACGTGTTACAATTTTGACCGCAAACAAACGCGTTAAGAAGTATATTAACGTAGCAAAAATCTAAAAAAGGTGCAATTTTTCCGTTTAAATTTTCCTCATTTTTCCGCGTTATTTTTTATTGTTTAGTTAACTGAGTTCAGTGCAGCACGGCCAAAAAGGAGTGTTGAAGTATAAAGGATCAAAAAATCCACCCAGCGCCCTCGCCTCACAGACAATGATATATGAATCCAGAAGCTATCACTGAGTGCGACAGGAGGGTTTTAGATACTATCACAGAACGTGACATGTACTCTCTAGAAACTAGTTTAATCGTTTTTCACATTATTAATTCCGCAAGGATTGCGCTATTTTACAGTGATCCCACCCGAACTCCCAGAGCCATCAACAAAACTATTACTCACTTTACATGCATACACACACCTTCTCTGTCTGTTAAACACACACTCTCTAGCGCATATAAATACTAACAGTCTCACTGATAACCCCCCTCGGAAAAGCCGATTTTTCGAAGAAAACCGAAATCGAGTTTTTATCATAGGAAGATTCCCCGCGATCTTCTCTTTCAGAATATATATAATTATTTGAAAAAAGGTTAAAGTTTTGACAGACTTATTGAAGAAATATTCTTTCATTTCCCTTACTCTCACACACCTTTCTAAAAATTCCTAAATGTTGGTTGGAAAACATAGGTCTCAAGCAGAAAAATTGCTATAACTTTCATTTTGTTTTAGCTTTCCCAGTTATTTTATTTTATTTTAAAGCTCTCAATTATAGCTAATTTTTATCAGACGGATTTTCGATATTGGATTCCTGGGCTGAGAAAAGTCCGATTTAGTGCTTTTTTTTATACATACTTTGGCAGTCATACCGAGTAAAATGCTTATAAAAAATGAACAGAAGGGAATTTCAAAATTCTGTCTGATAAAAAGTTGCGTATGCAAGCTAGCTTTAATTTAAAACCAACCCGATCTCGATAGCTCCCATAGCCATGAAGTTATAACAATTCTCGTGGAAGTCACAAAACAAGTTGT